GAACTAATTGAGGTGCTAACAAGTCAGAGCTAATTCATGTGCTAACAAGTCAGAACTAATTGAGGTGCTAACAAGTCAGAGCTAATTCAGGTGGTAACGAGTCAGAGCCAAGAGCCAATTCAGGTGGTAACGAGTCAGAGCTAATTCATGTGCTAACAAGTTATGGCTAAATCAGATGCTTACTCATTAAATCTAATCCAGCTGCTAACAAGTCAGAACTAATTGAGCTGCTAACAAGGAAAAGCTAATTCAGGTGGTAACGAGTCAGAGCCGATTCAGCTGCTAACAAGTCAGAGCTAATTCAGCTGCTAACAAGGAAAAGCTAATTCAGCTGCTAACGAGTCAGAGCCAATTCAGGTGCTAACTAGTCTAAGCCAATTCAGGTGCTAACAAGTCAGAGCTAATTCAGGTGCTAACAAGGAAAAGCTAATTCAGGTGGTAACAAGTCAGAGCCAATTCAGTTGCTAACAAGTCTGAGCCAATTCAGGTGCTAACAAATCAGAGCAAATTCAGGTGCTAACAAGCCAGAGCTCTTAAGGGTGCTAAGAAGTCAGAGCTAATTCAGGGGCTAAGAAGTCAGAGCTAATACGGGTGTTAAAAAGTCAGAGCTAATACGGATGCTAACAAGTCAGAGCTAAGTTAGGTGCTAACAAATCAGAGCAAATTCAGGTGCTAACAAGCCAGAGCTCATAAGGGTGCTAACAAGTCAGAGCTAATTCAGGGGCTAACAAGTCAGAGCTAATACGGGTGTTAACAAGTCAGAGCTAATACGGATGCTAACAAGTCAGAGCTAATACGGATGCTAACAAGTCAGGGCTAATACGGATGCTAACAAGTCAGGGCTAAGTTAGGTGCTAACAAATCAGAGCAAATTCAGGGGCTAACAAGTCAGAGCTCATAGGTGTGCTAACACGGCAAAGCTAATTCAGGTGCTAACACAGCAAAGCTAATTCAGGTGCTAACAAGGCAAAGCTATTTTAGGTGCTAACAAGTCAGAGCTAATTCAGGTGCTAAGTCAGATCTAGCACATTTCCTAATGAATCAGAGTTGTGTCAGACTTAAACCATGTAGAGATTATGTGATAGAAAACTGTTTTGGTCTCAAGTCTCTTTCTCTGTGCTCCTCTGCACTTTTTACAGGGTTTTGTGGATTTTAAATAACTAGACTTGATTAGTTTGTCTCTTTTATTAGACATAGCGATTCACAAACAGCAGTTAGCCAGAAAAGTACATTCAAAATGTGCAGCTGACCATGCGCCAACACCTCACATACACCTGCAATGAACCAGCTCATCAGCGCGTTTTAATGTTTAAATGCACAATCTTTCACCAGTTTCACCATCAAAGCACACACACCTCAGACACAGAAACACAGTTTTTTGTTGTCTTTTTTTTTTTACAATTACATTCTGTACAAATCCTCTGAAATGTGTTGAAAGGCTCTTTTTTTTTAACACATCCGTTCAGCTTCCGCCTCTGAACGCTCTTTATTATTAGCTTAATAACGGAGGAGATCCGCAGTCTGGCCGTCCAGTTAGTCCAGGAGGAGAAGTCCGACAACGTTCAAGTGAGTTCATGGCTAACACTGTTAAAAAACGGGAAACTGATCTGAACCGTCAGACAGAGAGGCAAAAAAACAAACGTTTGTCCCTGATCCGATCCCACCAGGAGTTTAAAAGGAGCAGCTGGTTCCGCTTTCGATGACTGGCCACAAAGATCCAGTGTATGTGTAAACATTCACCAACTCACACAGACGCCCGCACATCACCACGGCAACATTCTGAAAGCATGTCCGTCATCGGCCCGCTACTCGCAGCAGGAATGGCAACTGGAAAACAAAAAAAAAAGAAGGGGGCAACGTCTATACATCTAATTTTATTTCCTAAACTCATCCCCAAATTTCCTTGTAAGTGCAACACTTTTTTAAACCGTTCATTTTATTTATTTATTCTTTTATTCCTCCCGACTGCTCGCTCCGCAGCAAACAAACGGAAGGGAGGAAGAAGAGAGTCTGAGTTTGGGGGAACCCAGAGGAAGGCTCCTCCTCTTCTACCTCCCGAACACGCTCTCATACTCCAGCAGGATCAGCTCCACGATCTGGTTCTGGTAGACCATGTGGACGGCGATGTTGCCCGTCTCCGTCTCCGGCCGCAGCAGCGTGGGTCCGAACACGATGGCGACGCTCTGGGTGGTCATGCGGTTGGCCTCTCCGTGCTCTATCACTCTGTATGCGTGCGTGGGGGAGAGAATCAGAGGCAGATCTTAGAGATTACATTTAAAAATGGCTTCAGGTGAGCGTGCTTTGGTGTGGCAGATTTAAAGCCGTTATGTGGAGAACGACGACATTCAGCCACAGCTTCAGGGCTTCAGATGGAGCGTGGAGACAAACGCACGCTCAAGCATAATAACCTTTTTAAATAGAATCTACATCCTTGCATGGAGCGGCACAAAAACAATAACATATTCATGGAAGAAAAACGCTGATTAAATCCGCCTGAATGTCACGCTGTAAATTTCACCGCTTCATAGGAGCTGAATTACAGCAAAGGCGGCGCCATGTAAATGCAAATGTCATTGTGAACGTAGGATGTAGCTGGTGGCTGAGAATGGATCAGAACCTGCAGCTGGAAACAACCCACCGCTCCGTGTTTATTTAAGACATCAGAGGTGATGGCGTTGGCGGCGTCTTACCTGCGCAGGTGTTTGAACAGAGCCTGCATTGTGTCATGATTGGGTTTCGGCAGCTTCTTGATCAAGTCTTTGACGGAATTCAGTCGCTGCTTGTAGTCGGAGCATTCTGAGGAAAATGACAAGACAGGAAATGAGTCAACAGCGCCTTCTGGTGGGGAGACATGGAAAAGTTAAAAATGGAAAGTTAAAAATGGCCTTTTTTTACTTTAATTGTTTACTTTAGGCTGATTTATACTCAGAAACCAGGTTATCTGTGTGTTTGTCACAGTGAATACTGTAGGTGATCGCAGACAGGAGGCCTCTGATTGGTCAAATCTACATCTGCTCTCCACTATGCGTATTTCCTGTTTGGTACTAGGGATGCGCAATATTGGGATTTTGGCCGATATCCGATATGCCGATATTTTAAAACTCATGTAGCCGATAACCGAT